ATCAGCTTTCTTCACCACATTTGCTTATGCACCCATTTGCCTTCAGCAATCATATCATGGAGGTGAGCAAACAATGATATGATTTTTTGTTCTTTGATGGATGCCTGATAACTGATCCCTTCAGCACCTTGTGATCACACAGGCTAGTGTGTTCTTCCATGTTGACTTTGTTGCTTCTGAGCTAGATGGACACTTGTTTACCTTCAAGCTTTGAGGTTGGGGAAATAGAATGGGGAAATCGATCTATGTGCATATATTTATAGGCTTAGTAATAAGGTAGCAGAAGGACCTTGGGCCTCCACTCAAGTACTCCCTCAATGCAAGAATACTTTCTTCTATTAAATTGGCATTCCATGATGCTCACCTTCCTGATACCACCTCTGAAGACAAAGCAGGTGCATAAGCAAATGTGGTGAAAAAAGCTGATGGTGCCTGGCTATCAAAAGATACAGCGTCTGGGGTTTTAAAAGCATGCACAGTTCTTTATTCTTTGAGTTGCTTTCCAAGGTGTTACTCCCCTGTTGACATAAAATTTCTGCTTCTTAAGTTCCTATATAATCTTTCAGGTTGTTCTATTTGATCTTCTATTCCAAAGTCGCTGAGTCAATTCTGACTTGTAGTAATGCTCTGTGCCCAGGGAGAACTGTGGGTTTCTGAGAGGGTACCTTTTTATGGGAGTAGAAGTGCATACTGTTCAGGGAAAACATTCCTTATTAAAATCAAACTAAACTTTTCTTTGGTTTTAAGAAGATCTAAGCAGATAATTTTATTTAATATATAAAAGTTATTGTAGAGCAATTTTTAGGAGTTCATCCAGCCTAAAGTCAGAATTCCATACTACTTTAAAATTCCGTTCTAAGTTTCTCACCTTTGGGTCAGAGTTCTTCTATAAAAGCTTTGATCAAAATACTCATTAATGGCAGGCAGACACCAGACAGTTCTTGTTTCGTGGACATTTCCCTTTGACTTATTACTGTTTTTAACATGTTTATTTTCTACTTGTAACTGGTGAAAGCAATTTCTGTGTCTCCAGATACCATTTACATTTGCTTGTTTTGATTCTTACGTGGTTGTTATCCTTACTCACTTTATAGAATTGTTTATTTTTGTTTTAATTTGCATTTCTTTAATTGCAAAGATTATTTTACTCACTTTATTCCTAAAATTTTATATACGTATGTTTGAATTAGAGTATTGCCCATTTTCCTTAGCAAGAGTCATGTAAAATGTTGCCTTTATTTTTTTTCTGGTTTTACAAAACATCTGAGTAAATTCATAGTTGACATTCACTCTGGGAGTAAGTATTTAAGGAAGTTCACAAATGTCTATACGTGCAAACTAAAGTGTTTCTTTCCAGTGTCTCAATAATGTTTGAGCAAGAAAAGTTCAGGCCCTGAATTTGCAAAAATTGTTACCTTTTTTCCTAGGAAAGGTCTCTAATTTTCAATCCAAGTATTATGACTCAGAAGAGAGCAGGTTTTCCAATCCCTCTCTCAAAATGAGTTTTAAAGGTCTTTAGCTGCTGTAAAGTAGATCTTTGAAATTGTGAGTCTTTTGGGACAGATTGTAAATGTAATGGAGTGAAGCTTTCCGGAGCCAATTCTAGACAGTTATTGTTAGATTTGGGTGAATCAGTTCCAACACATAGCAATTCCTTGTAGAATAGAATAGAACACTGCCTGGTCCTGAGCCATTCTTGCAAGCATTGCCTTGTTTGAGCCCACATAGCCCCTGTGTCAACCCAATTCATTGACAGTCTTCTTCTTTTTCACTGATTCTTTCCTTCATTCACCAAGCACGAGTTTCTTCTCAGAGGCTGGTGCCTCCTGATAACATGTCCAAAGTACATGAGATAAAATATTACCTTATTTACTTCCAACGAACATTCTGGCAGTACCCCCTCCAAGAGATTGTTTCATCTTCTGGAAGCTCACTGCCATCAAGCCGATTCCAACTCTCAAGGACATGGTAGGATTGCCCCTGTGGGTTTTTAAGACTGAACTCTTGATGGGATTTATATTTTTAGTTCGTAAAAAAATAAAATAAAATCCATAATTCAGGGCAGATATCTCTTTAATCTTGTATGGCAATGACAGGATAGAACAGATCTATAGGAAAGCTGACATCTTAGATGAAAATAAGGGAATAAAAACAAGAGAAAATTTAGTGGAAATATAAAGAGGAGCAAATAATAATGAGTACAAGAAAGAAGGAAATGTACCATAACTTATTGTGGGGGTGAGGGCCCCACTCTTTTTAATCTTTTTAAACTATTGAATTGCATATATGTGGATTATATGTCAATAGAGGTGTTAAAATTTTTAAAGCAGAAGAAATAGAAAATTATATGTTACAGTTTGTGAGGGTACACTGCAAGAGAGCAAAGAGTCCTCCTGGCTCTCCCAATAATTAGCTTTTCAACCATAATCAAAATATTTAAATTGTGTACACAATTTTATTCATGATAAAATAGAATTAGTAATACATAACTTTCCACTTTCCAAAGAGGGTTCACTAAGACATAGGTAAAGACAGCATGAAATACGAAGAGAAAAAAGAGGTGGTCGTGGTCCAGATCCTGTGAATCTATCGATGATAATTCCATAGGATGACTAGGCCACTGGGTCAGTCAGTGGCGAAACCCTTTCTGTGCAATCTACCACATCACACACCTTCAAGCTGGAAGTCGGATTTGGGGAAGCTTAATTGTTTGCAAATATTTCATCAGCAAACCTCTATTCTTTTTAATGTCTTCCAAGTCCTCCTCTGATGTGTTGTTAGCATTTGGCTCCATAACTCATATTTAATTTCCTTCTCTCACATCAATTCTGAACCTCAGCCATAATTTCTTGGTTGAAAGGTCAAACACTGTACCAAATTGTGCAGTGACCTGAATATATACTGGGGAAATCAACAAGCACTGGTTTCACAATACCATTAAGGGGGGAAATGAAGTAATAGCCAGCTGTCAATTTGATATTATGTAATTTTTAATCAGGATCGCAGGCCAGTAGAAAAAGTTCACATGTGTTGAGTGTACTTTGATTTATACAAGTCTGTGTGTTTCTGTAGGCATGTGTGCATGGTTTCCCGTAACCTTGATAACAGTCCAATGTGAGTTATTGTCTCCTCTGTACATTAATTTCATTGTAGAGAGGAGAATCAAGATAAAGACAAGAATATGATTTTTGTCTTGGTCACATAAGGAGAAAGTATTGTAACGAGGACTTCAAACTCACTGCCATTGAGTCAACGCCGACTCAGAGAGAATCTTGTAGGACAGAATAGAACTGCCCTTGTGGGTTCCCAAGAATGTCAATCTAACGGGAGCAGGAAACCTCATCTTTCTCCCTTCGGGGTCTGATCAGTTCATACTGCTGAACTTGCAGAGAGCAGTCACGCACATAATCCGCTACGTCACCAGGGAACTCCCATGAACACTTATCCCCAAGTCTTGTGAATCCAAGATGCTAGCTCTACACATGCCACAGAAAAACTCTATTGCAACAGGAATGCATATTTAATACTATGGCTATTGAAAATTGGTAGATTGTTCTATCTTCAGCCATAATTTATCTATACACTTTTCCAAGTGAAAACTAACCTGATGTTGCAGCCAAATAATTCGCATCATTGACTGTTCACTTCTGAAAATCACTTCTGAGGTTTCCTCTTTCTTGTTACTAGTGGTTAGAATTAAACACACACACACACACACACACACCAAACTCATAGCCATTGCGTCAATTCTAACTCACAGTCACCCTAGTGAGCAGAGTAGAACCATCTGTGAGTGTTCAAGGTCATAAATCTTTACGGGAGCAGAAAGCCTCATCTCCCCATTGAGTGGCTGGTGGGTTGCATAGAGCCTGGCAAATAGTTACTACTTGCTACATTTTTATTTAACAAAAGTCTTCCATCGGGAATCTGTGACCATTCTTTGTTTGGAAAATTTACTCTGACTTGGTCATTTCCTTTAGCATTTACAAAGTTCCTACTTAATAGTTTCCATTGTGAATAAAGTATTATACCCTCTTTCTCTCTTGTCCAGAGACTCATGGCTCATTTCCAAAGACTAACATAATTAAACATAGAAGTAAAATAATAGCTACAAATAGATATAACATGACTACAAGAGAACATGAAGAAACTATCAGGATAGAGCATTAAACAATTCTCAGAAAAGATGCCAGTATAAGTTAACTGATAGGCAACAATTCAGGCGGTAAAAGATAATGACATTCTAAGAAGGTAATGGGTTGGACAAGAGCATGGATGGAGATATGATTTCAGAAAGGATGTGCTAGATTCAGAAATGGTAGGTAATCCATAAAGGATCAACTGAACCACAGCTTTTGGGTTCCTTATTTGTATTAAGTCTTATTACCTATTTGGGAATGCTACTTTCATTAAGCATACATGTATACTTGCACATCTCCAATCAAGGAGGTTTAAAACTCAACACAAAAGAAGCAAATAATTAAGAACATTAGAAGGCAAAGAAGTTATGAGAATAATAAGGACATGGATCTGATCATCTCATTGAAATATAAACTATAAATTGAAATATAAAAATATAAAAAGACACACTGCCTTACATGTTTGAAAAGTACATGCTCCAAGTTTTGATGCAAACTTGATATAAATAAATAAATAAATATTCAAAGAGTAAATAAAAGATCGATATGAAGTTCACAATGTCCATGAAATAATAAAAACAAACAAGTCAACAGCTAACATGGATCAAGATGGTAGAAAAGCAGCTTCATATAAAAAATAAAAAACACGCAAATAAATAAAAAGTGATGAGTCATAAGAAGCACAGGATCTGACAACAAACTAATACATAGACATTATGCAACATTATATTTTGTCTTCTGTGTGGATTCCTCAGAAAGTGAACTTGACATTTTAGATCTAATTCAAGTGTTCGTGGAAACATTAGACAAGTGTTTTGAAAATGTCTGTGAACTGGATTTAATTTTCCATGTAGATAAGGTTCACAATATTCTTGCAGCAATGGTGATGGGGGGAATGGTATTGGAAACCAACATGAATGAGATTGTTACACAAATTGATGCACAAAATAAACTGGAGAAATCTGAGGCTGGCTTAGCAGGAGCTCCAGCCCGCGCAGTATCAGCTGTAAAGAATATGAATCTTCCTGAGATCCCAAGAAATATTAACATTGTTGACATCAGTGTAAAAGTGCCAAACCTGCCCTCTTTTAAATAAAAATATTAAAAGGCTACTCCCAGGTAAAATCCTGGGGGGAAAGTCACTCAAGTTTACCATGCAGGTGTTTACCAAAAATAGAGAAGAAGAGTCTTAACTTTTGCTCTTGGATTTATGTCAAGGTACTATATAGAAGTTGTACAAAATCAGTATGTGAAATTCAATGTTGCTTTTCTTGCTCCCCGATTTTAAAGAAATTGAATAGTTTATGTGTTTTTATTGTTGTTTTTCCTTTTCTAAACTGCATTCCTATGCCCACCTAAAGGCCATGCCTCTATGTATTGGCTATAACAGTATTTTGAAAAGTGTTTGAGATATTTCCCTAATTATGCAAAACCCAAAATGTTGGTGCTTTGTATGGAGCACAAGTACAGCATTCCTTAACTCCTTCTGCTACTCATCATCATTGTTATTTAAAGAACTGAGTATGTATTGCATGAAAGCATTATGACCTTTTCTCTTAGTTTAAATAAACTCCATGGTAACTGGACTATGAAGCACCTTTCTGTTTGCCTGATGTCGACTTAGAAATAATTTTTATGCCCTTCTGATTCAACAAAGTAAATAAATGTATATTTTATCACTGTTAAAAATAAAAAAGAAGCACAGTTCTTTCTGATACTGAGAAGTAAGAGAAGTTTCCTTGTTGGTGCTGCTTTAGGGAATGTGTTAATATGGGTACTTTAGAAAAACAAATCCACAGAAACTCATATGTATAAGAGAGAGTTTTTTATAAAGGGTAAGTGCACATCCAGGAAACATCCCAACCCAGTGCTGCCAAGCCCATAAGTCCCTCATTAGCCCATATGTCCGACACCACTCCATGAAGTCCTCTTCCATCTCCCAAAATACACGCTATGATACCAACTGCAGGAGGAAAGCTGAATCTGTGAATGTGTAAACATCTCAGCACTGGCAGGGTCTCCACACGGCTGCTCCAGCACCCAGGGGTGCACCGGGGTAGGTTCAGGTGGCTTCTCCGTGGGGATGTCTTACAGGAAGTGAGCCTTGCCAGCTGAAGCAGGGAACTGCTAAGGCAGATGCACCCTAGTCCAACCATCAGAAAGCCAGAGATCTGAGAACTAGAAAGGCGAGGGTCACTGAGCCATTTATCCCTCCACCCTTCAATTAACCCCACATGTGTTTATCGGCCAGGTTGGCACAATAAGCTAACCACCTCAGAGGACAAACTTGAAAACCTGATTCTGCTTTTTGCCTGGCTTCTCACCATGGCAGCTCTTTGGTGCTCCATAAAACATTCTTGGCTGCTTGGCCAGGCCAGAACTCTGGATATGCCCAAACCGAAAGGAATCCTAGTAACGAGAAAGGCATAGGCTCACCTGAGGGCGCCTTGTACCCTTTCTTGTCTATTTTTAACTTCACACACTAAAATGTAGTTATTATTTGAAATAGAGCTATATATCATGAATTAAGAAACCACATAATCACCTCTTCTTAAACTAGGATTTCCCTTCATCATTAAGCAAATTTTAATTACATTAAAATAACTAAGTATTCACAGAGTTTAAAAAGCATAAACATCAGAGTATACTTAACTATGCAGTTGAATAGATTTACTATCTAAAAACATCATGGCTATACACCAAGTGACTGGTTCTATTTTCTATCACTGCACAGCCCTTTGTTTTAAGCAATTTTCTTCATCTCAATTGATTATATGAAAGCATTTCTTTCTTATGGGATAGTTCAGGGCCCTGCTATCCTAGTGAGTTACAGAGTCAGCTGCTAACTGAACAGTTCAGCAATTTGAACTCATCAAGTGCTTCTTGGGAGAAAGATAAGGTTTTCTGCTTCTGTAAAACTGTACAGTCTCAGAAACACAAAGGGGGCAGTTCTGCACAGCATGGATCAGAAATGACTTGAAGGCGGTGAATTTGGTTCGGTTTGGGATGGGATGGGGGTAGGTCGTAGGCTTGTTATTTAGCAGATTTTCACATCATTTATTCTTTTGCCCTTGTAATAACTTTATTTAGATCAATTCTGTGTAGACTTAAATAAATAAAAGTAAAAAAGATGTGTTTGCTTTATTTGCTAAATGTCCATGTTCAAAGGGTTCTTTATATAATCATGATTCGTGGCCAAAGATGAGCATTGAAGTAATCTGCACAGCATTGGAAAAAATGTAGACTCAATTTACACAAACAGAATCAGAGCATGGGGAAAGAAAACCAAATCTTAATATTTTTTATTAGTTCTAGAGGAGAAACTACTGTTATCTTGGTGAAAAACAAAAAACTTAAAAATCAGAATCTGTGCATTGGTTCTCACTCACAGAGACCCTATTAGAGCAGAACTCCTTACGGGAGTCGAAACCCTCATGTTTCACCCGTGAAGTGGCTGGTAGTTTCAAACAGCTTCGTACCTAAATTACTGGTGGTTGAAATGTCTGCATTAAATTTATGATTCCTAACTGAAAGTATTTTTGGTAATCTATTTATTGCCAAAATAATTTTGGTTAGGAATCAAAATGTTATGAAGATATCTCAGCCACACTGTATTTTCAATATCAATTCTTCCTTTTACTTTAGCAATTAATTACATATGACCAGTTGCTGATTATCCATGCAACCTAACATTTAGAAAAGCAAAAGTAATTTCATCAGACAAAACAATAAAATATGATGTTTGTCATTAATTTCAATTCTGATCCCAAGTACTGTCATTAAATTACTGTTTCAACTCTGTCAGTTGTGCTTTAGCTGGGGTAAGAGGAAACCAAAATTAACACTTCATAACAAAGGCTGAGGGGAATCAGTTTGTAAATGATTAAGGACAGTGTTTATCTTAAGACTATCATTGGTTCTTGATGACTGTTAAAAGTAATTTGCATTTTTTTTAAACTGAGCCAATGTATCAATATACACAGTGTGTTTCTTTAAAAAGCAAATGACTTATTTATAAAACTCCTCCAGATTTTTTATCCCTCAAACCTTAATAGTGGTCTGCATGGCTGGGGGGACAAAAAAGGAGGAAAGGTAAAACTAAAATGGACTTGACATATTTAGAGACAAACAATTGAATTTCAAACAAGCAAATCAAGATCATCAAGCCACAAGGGGAACATAGATGTCACTGCACCAGAACCCGATGGAGCTGCGGACTCCCATAGCACCCTGGTTCATTCACGCCCTTGAGGTTCGTCCCCATGACTGAGCAGAAAGGACAGAGCCTTTTGAACTGATCAGGTTTCCAGATACCTTTTATTTTTCAGCAGTTGGAGATAATGCCACAAGTACAATTTGTACTAGTGGCTTCTAACGTCTCCTCGGGTCAGGGATCTCCCACACACTGACACAGAGAATCTCAAATAATCTCCCATCAGCAATTTGTGGGGTTTTAGCAAAAATGTACTCTGCCACTAAAGTCACATGAGCTGTTGTTTGGTTTAGACTTCTGTTTTCTTCTTACAACACAAAATGGAGAAGCAAAGAGGAAGAAGGGAAGTTATGTCGGTTCCTCTTGGTTTTGTTCTGAAACACGTTTTTTGAGGGAAGACAATCCTGAGTGATTTTAGTAAGAAAACATATCAATTTTGCTCTATTTATATCTATCTCTATCTATCTATCTATCTATCTATCTATCTATCTATCTATCTATCAATCTACCTACCTATCTATCCCATCTGTCCATATATCTATCATCTACATATATATATATATATTTTTTTTTTGAGAGAGAGTTTATAAAGTCTGGCTTTATGCAAGTAAATCATGGTGGACATAGGATGTCTCTTTTTTTCTCTAGTCCCAGAAGAAAATTGGTAGAAGCCCTTCAGGCATGTTCGAGTGAGTGAGGCTGGGCTCAGTTTGAACTTCTGCGTGTTGCTTTAGTTAGAAACAGTAGACGATTTGACAATTCTGTGAGTTTGAAGGTCAGTAAAGAAGCCTGTGGCTGTCACCCAGCTGATTATCAGTTTTACCTTGGAACACAGGCATATAATAATCCTTCAGCATCTTCCAGTCCTGGAGGGCACCGGCCTCAAATGAAGGCACGAGAGAAGAATGGTGCTTGGGAAACTGAAAAAACAAGACTAGCTGATCCCCTCCCTCTCAATTCACAAAGGAAGTAATATCTACGGCATTTATTTTTTCTACGCTACTCCTCTGGAAGCTAAGGACAGTGACCTGACCTGATCGTGGTTGGGGTGAATGACCTGTGTCTCAAGGCCTGAGGTTCCCCCTTCATTAAGCTTTCCCAGATGAGGTGACGGGAGATGGCCGTCTCCATTCCCATGTGTGTCAGTCTGGGGACTTTAGGGAAACAAATCCACAGAGACTCATGTAGAAGAGAGAGTTTTATGTATAGGTTAAGTGTGCATCAAGAAAACATTCCACCCCAGTGCTGCCCAAGCCCACAAGTCCAACATTAACCCATATGTCCAA